CCTGCTCTCACATCTGCCCCCGGGACCATCAAACATCTTGATAGTAACAGGAGGTGCTCCTATTTGCAAGACCCTTCAGGCGATTCGACCTCATTCAGTGTCCTCAAACTATGAACACTCCCCCCAGGGACTTCTCTAGATCTGGAAGGAGGAGGCAGGCCTGCCTTGACAGGCCCAAGGGCCTGGGGTTTGGGAGCCTAAATATGAGGTAGACAGAAGAATAATTATCATTGCCCAGGCTCCAGGCCCCTGGTTTGGCAGAAGACACCGGGGTCCTGTCTCCCGTACACTCTGGGATGTGATAAGTCCAACCTCGCAGTGTCCCGGAAGACCAAACCCTTTGCAGTCCAGGCAGGGCCTGGTCTTGAGCACAGCCTTAGTGACCAAACTCCCAAGAGCTGGCAGAGAAGGGGCTACCCCCTGGGGAGGGCTCTCAGCCCGCTGCCTCTACTTCCTCACCTCTCCCTCACTTGCCAACCCTTTGCAATCTTGTTTCCATCCCTATCCCCCAGGGGGAAAAACGGCTCTTCTGCAAGGTTCCCTGTGGTCCCAGTGGTCATTCAGTGTGTTTTTTCGGGCCTGCACCTGGCTCACCTCTGCTCACCTCTGCTCACTCATGGCCACTGAGCCCTCTGAGCTTTGTGACCAGCAGGCCCCCTGAAGACCTCTTCTAGGAGCAGAGGTCAAGGAGGGATCCTGGCCACCCCCCCCAAGACCTTCCAGCAGCAGTGAAAGGCCCACGAGAAGGGGGGCCTGAGGCCTCGGAGCCCAAGCCCCTCCTTTGGCAGAGGAGGGAACTGCAGCCCAAGGGAAAGGGGCAACTTGCCCAGGGTCCCACAAACTATGAACAAGTGCTTTGCCCACATGAAGGAAGGGCATCTTCAAGCTGCCTCTCACTCCTCATCCTGGGCATCACCCAAGGGTGGTCTGGACGGTTCTGCCTCCAGTCTGGGAGACTCCCTCCCCAGAGCACCCCCCAGGTCCCCCTGCCCTCCCTCTCCCCCAGGATCGCTCTGTTAAAGCGCCTGGCAGCACAGCCCCCTCCTAGCTTTCCAGCCTTCTCATACCCTGCTGACCCCCACACTCTGACTCGGCTGCATTGCTATCCTGGCCGTTTCCCCAACACCATCTTCAGTCTCGCTGGCTGTCCTCCAAGCCTGGAAAGCTCTTCCTCCTCTGTCTCCTGCCTTCCCTGGGCCCTCCACACTGCTGGGGTCTTCCCTTCTGATGTGATCTTCCATTTAAAAGGATAGAACTTGTACGTACATGGCTGTTTGTGAGTTGTTTCCCCCCCGGACTGTGAGCTCCTGGAGGGCAGAGATGGGCACACAGTAGGGGCTCCCAAGGCCTCCCAAGACCTGGGGAGGGGAGGGGAGGGTACTCACCCATTCTCCCCTTGCACCTCACTTTCTCTCAGATTTGAGCCTCCTCTGCAGGGATCAAAAAGATCCTTTGCCCTGGTCCTCTCAGTGCCAGTCAGGCCCCGAGGATCGTGGCCAAGAACTATCTATTTGCAGCAATCCAGCGCTCACTAAAGGCCCAAGTGTCCTGCCTCCCTGAACGATGAACACATCCCTTCACCGCACAGGCAGGCTGCCCACTGAAGACCCTGCCAGCTGGTCACACCAGGCCAGGAGGGAGCCAGAGCAAGCCATTCTGGGGGTCATTCAGCCCAAGGGCCCCTGACCTCTGGGTTCCTCTGGCTCCTTACTTGGCTGGTTCCAGCACTCAGTCTCTCCCCTCCCCCACCCACCCCATCCCCTCACTGACCCCTCATCTCTGCCTTCATACTCAGGGACTTCAATCTAGGCGCATATTGAATTCCCATGGCTTCCAGGCTGGACACTTCCCACAGGGGACCCCTCCTGATCTCAGGATTTCCCACGCCTCTTCAATTTCCACAATCCAGAACCCCTGCCCCCACGCCCCTCCATTCCTCCCAGCTGATCTGGCCCCACACTTCTCCTCCGGAGCCGATTCAGATTGCGCTCTACGGGTGACCTGTCATCCGTCTTCTCTGCTCCAGCTCCAGGGCGTCTGGGTTGACCACCACCAAGACCGTCTCTGTGACCGCTGACCCTTCTCTGACTGTCTCTGTTGCACGGGGATCCATTCCCACAGTGGCTGCTGGGACTCAATCTACCCTCCACACGCCCCCCCCGGCCCCCCTCACCTCCACATGGGGCACCTGCGCTGTCTCGACCCCCAGCTCCTGATGCCCGCTGCTCCTATTGGGAGTTCTCTGAACCTGTTTTGGGGAAGGGCCCAGACCAGCCATCCCTCCTGCTCATGGCTTGAAGCTCCGTTTGGGCTCCCCCCTCCCAGCCCTTTCAGCTCCCCATGAGAGCCCACAGGTACTCGTAGCCCTGGCACTTAGTCGAGTGCTCAGCACGCTTAAGACGAGCTTGTGAGTGGACTCTTTTTGGAGCAGTGGCCCCCCCTTTTTTTTTGCAATTGGGGTTAAGTGACTCGCCCAGGGTCACACAGCTAGTAAGTGTCAAGTGTTTGGTCTGAGACCAGATTTGAACTCAGGTCCTCCTGACTTCAGGGCTGGTGCTCTATCCACTGCGCCACCAAGCTGCCCCTCAGAGCAGTGGCCCTTCTTGCCATGGCTCGACACTGCCCAGGTGGAATCTGACTGTGGGACTCTGTGCCCTCGACCCCAGACCCCCTAGGAGTTGTCTCCCTCCAACACCCCTCCCATCGCCGTCTCTCATATCCTTCCTTGCCGCCTCCCACAAACAGGCCCAGGTAACTCCAGTCCTGAAAAACCCTCCACTTGATCCTACTCATTCTCCACGAAGGCAGTGGAGTCTGGTTGTGGGCAAGAAATGACCAAAGGGATGAGATCCTGCCCTGAGGGGAGGGAGCCAAAGCAGGCCCCCGATGTCCTGAGGACAGACCGCAGTAAAGACAAACACTAGAAAGATTTGGGAGCCTTCCTGTGGAAGGGACACACCCATCACAAGGGTCAGTTTTTAATCGGGAAGCACAGCAGCGGCAATGCTGACAAAGGAGGCCATTGTCACACTTTAAAAACGCACCAGAGAACTGAAGGAAACCAGAAGGAAACCAGCAAAGCAGCGCTGGAAGGCAGGCAATCGTACACACATGCTTGCTGATTCACACATGCACTCATTCAGTGTATATACAGACTCACACACACACACAAATACACACAGATGTACAACACACCCACATCCCCACACATACTCTCATAAACAACACAAAAACACATTGCACACACATGAATACATGCCTATGTACATCCACTCTCATACACCTTCACATACTCATACACAATCATCCTTGCATGTGTATGTACATGTACGCTAACAAACATATATACACTCATATGCCCCCACTCATACATGCACACATTCCCCACACTTCTATACACACGCACACACATACATATACAAGCACGTGTATTTACACATACATACCACACTCCTACACGTGCAAACACATATGAACACATACTCTCATATATCCCCACAAACACAAACACACACATTAAACAAGCATTCCTGATTTCATACAGAATCCTCTTTTGAGCTCTGCTCTTTGGGGTATTCATGTTCAGAATTAAAAAAAAAAAAAGAGGAAAAAGAAAAAAGATGAGGCCATCCTGACTTCCTGTTTGCAGCCTCTCTCCTCCCCTGTTCATCCTCCACAAAACTTTCAGTGATTTTTCTTTTTAATCACATTAGCATTTTATCTACTTCTTTACTTTTGAAAAATCAGTCCCTAGTTTGTTTTGCTGTCAGTTTTGTTAACCCACTCTTTTTTTTAGGATTTACTTAATCTTGTTAATTTTTAATCCTTTCTTTAATGAACTGAATTATTTTTATTGCATTGTGGTCAGTCAAGGATGTTTGATATTACTATTTTTTCCCTGCATTTATGTGTCAAGTTTTTATGCCCTAATACATGGTCAACTTTTCTAAAGGTGCCATGCACAGGTGAGCAAATTCCTTTCTATTCCTGCTCGGTATTAAACAGAGATCTATCATATCTAACTTTTCTAAAATTCTATTTTAGTCCTTAACTTTTTTCTTGTTTGGTTTTTAGTTAGATTTGTCTAGCTCTGAAATGAGTGCACTTAGGACCCCACTCTTACAGAATTACCGTCTATTTTTCCCTATGCCTTTTCCTTTAGGCATTTAGTGGCTGTGCTATTTGGTGAATACATATAAAGTATTCAAGTTAATGCATTGTCTGAGACACTTTTTAGTAAAATGTCATTTCCTTATTTACCTCTTCTGCTGATGAAGACTCTTTCCGTTGTTGCTAGATTCTAGGCCCTGCCTTTTTTGGTTCAGCTGAGGTATGTTGGTATTCCTTGGCTCAATAAACTTCTGTGGGCCACTCTGTCTTCCCTCTAGACCCAAGATGAAGTCCCTTGCTTAGCACTTAGGGCTCTTCACAGTCTGACCCCTTCCTCTCTTTCCAGGCTCATGACCCACATGCCACTTTAAACCAGCTGCCTCTACCTCTGGAAAGCTCTTTAAACTCCCAGGTCTCCCTCTAAATTTGGTTCAGCTGACACTTTCTGCAGGAGGTCTTCCCTGCCTGCCCCCTGCGTCGCAACTGGGTCCCTCTCCCCAAGGTGATTGGCCATGTGTCTACGTAGCAGGTGCTTGTACCTCCTTGTATACGTACACGCCATTGCTCTCCATTAGAAGTTCAGCTCCCTGCCTGGGCACTCCTGTACCAGTCACTCACAGGGGCCACAACAGCTGAGCCAGCTGGCTCCGGGGTGGGCTGCATCACTTCCCTAAGTCCACCAGAAGTGACAATGCCTGGCTGTCCTCCCAGGATCCCTGGCTCAGCAGCGGCCTGGCACCACAGGCCCCACAGCCGACCTGTGAGTCAATCCGCAGGAAAGGAGGAAGCCAGGAGCTATCCGCCATTTCTGGGGAAGCAGAAGGAGATGACTACCCCACCTCCCACTGTGGCCACTGGAAACACAGACAAGAAAACTGGCCTCAGGCCTGTTGGAGGATTTTTTTTTTATTATTATTATCATTATTGAAGATGAACTAAAAGAAGCCGACATAGTGATATCAAGGCCTTGGCCCGTTCTCCTGTGACTCCCCCCCACCCCTTCTTTCCCCCTGGCCATGCCCACTCGGTCAGTTGTGAATCTGGAGCAGGAGGAGCAGAGCAGCCCTGGGCTCGGCTGGAAGCCCTCCAGGTGCCAGAGGCCGGGTAGCTTGGGGGGAATCCAGGTAAAAATGAAACCAAAGGAAAGAAGCCCAGGCCATCCGTCCACTTCAAAAGGAAAAGTCACTTTTCAGAACAGAATGCTGGGAACGACTTCTCCGCACAGGAAACCAAGGACAGGAAAAAGCCCAGAACAGAATGAAATACGGACCGGCTCCAGTGGGGGTCTCCCCCACGCCCCCCGATCCAGCCACAAGCAGGGAACCAGGACAAGCCCCAATGTCATCAGCGCAGCGATGGCGCCCGTCCCACGAGTCCGGGGGATATCTGCTGCCCCATCTCCTGAACGTCCACTGCTGAGTCCGTGAGCGTGCAGGTGCGTGCGGGTGTGCGCGGGTGTGTGCATGCATACATACCCGCAGAGCCACGCACGCGTGCACACACACAAACACACGCGCACACCCACGCGCACAAGCACGTGCAGAAATATAGACTAGGGTTGGTTTCTCTTTTCAAAGGTCCGTGGGTGTCCCGGTCCTCCCGGAAGACTCATCTCTCCTTCACGTGGTTCTGTGCCCCTCCGCTGCCGCTGCCACCCCCATCGCCATTCCCGCCCCCACCGCCCCCACTACACAGGACCTCTGTGAGGTCGTCCATGACCGTGACCTCCTTGGAGTCAACCAGGTTGAACTCCCTGATGAACAGGATGAAGTGTGTGTAGAGGGTGTTCAAATGTCCGTGCAGCTCCAAGGCCAGGGTCTCCTTGAAGTGCGCTGCGTATATGTGCGCCAGTACGTGGAACAGGTATCTGCAGATCTTCTTGACCAGCGACTCGAAGGAGTTGGGGAATTCCTTGCCTGGGGAGGGGGCGGGGCAGACAAGGTGCCGTCAGGCCCCGGGGCTCAGGCGGGGCTCGCTGGGAGGCAGCAGAATCAAGGCTTCCAGCCTCCCTCCCCTCCCCTTTTCCCCACTGGCCCAGACTCCCGGGCTGGAAAGATCTCAGGGTCAAAGACACCCGGCCACCGCTCAGCCAGTGACCACACCACATGGCCTTGGAGGGCAGGAAGAGATGGGCTCCAGTGGTGCTCACTCGCTGGGTCAGTAAACGTGCCTGGGCACCCGCTTTGTGCCAAGCACTGGGCTAAGGCTGGGGACACAAAAGGAGGGCTGTGCTCTTCGAGCTCTCCTCCAGGGGCCTCAGTGGGAAGGGGCCAGAGGAGACCCATCGTCTCCCCCAGAGCTGGTTAAAATCACGTAGAAGCCACAAGGGGCAGAGTGTCTGGCTGTGTCCCAACCTCCCAGGCCATCACTGGCCTTTCCTCATCACTCCAGCCTCATCAGCAGGGCCCAGACCTCCCCCAGCATCCCTTCAGAGGGTACTCAGGCCCCTTCCCTCCTTTCCCGGGGCCTCCCGCAGTTTTCAAGGCCGTCCCAAGCCCAGACTCAGAAAAACAAGAAGGGCCCCTAGCACAGCCCCTGCACCATCACTTCCCTCAGGGCCCCCACCTCAGGAACTCCCCCACTTCCCTGGAAGCAACACTACTGTCCATGCTCGTTTACAGAAGTGCGCTCGGCCTCTAAGACTCAGCTCACGGGCCACCTCCTCCAGGAAGTCCTTCCAGATTTCCCCACTGATCAGGCTCTCTTCCTCCTCCAATCCCCTTCTCTTTACTTTTCTTGTGTGTGCTACAGAATGGAAGGTCTCCAGGGGCAGGCAGGGCCTGTGGTCTTTCTTTGCATCGCACAGAAGGCCCCCGATGAGATCATCGGCTCAGCTCTGGGTGGGTGGGGACTGTGCCTACCCTTTCGCTGCCATCCCCCCATCTTGGTGCCTGACCCAAGAGCCAACCCAAGAACCTGCCCCACCCCTGCGAGCCAGGTACAGTGAAGGCACCCAAAGGTCTCTGGGGAAAGGCAAAGCTCCCCAACCGTGCAGAAAGCACAGTTCTTCCTGGATGGGGAGGGGGCGAGGTGGGGGAGGCTAAACCTCCTTCCCTGGGCCCCCCATTCCCTTCTCTGAGGGGCTGAGTGCCCAGGAGCTCTAGGGCAGACCTTGGGAAGTGGGAGCAGGGCGGGGGGCAGAAGGCCTACCGTATTTGGTAGGGAAGACGTCCTCGTCTGTCACCAGCTTCTGCACCGAGCTCATGACAAAGTCGACGTACTGGGGGGCCGTGCACTTGGTCTTCTTGCCCCGCTCATCATACCAGTAGTATTGCCTAGGGAAAAGGCGCCAAGAAGCCTTTGGGTGTGGGGAGTCGGCACTGCCAGCAGCCACGTGACCCCCGCCCCAGCTGCCTGGTGGCTTGGCCTGCTCCTCCCAGTCTCCGCCTTCTCCTGGTCATTCAGAGCCGGCCCCAAGACAACACCAGCCCTACAGAGGCTTCCTAATCAACTCAACAAACACAGATTAAGCACCTGCTGTGTACAAGACTGGCCAGCAATCCCAATGAGAAATGAGCTCCCCACTCCTAGGTAAGCTGTTACTTAATACCGAGAGTTTGTGGAGGAGAGGGGGGAGGGACACAATCTGGACATGGCAAGGACACAGAGTCCAAGGTGATGTGTAACAGGGGCCAAGAAAAGCCTGGGGCCTGCAGAGCTGGGCCAGGTCAGCCTGGGAGCGGGCGTGCAGGCCTGAAATGGGCCCCCACCCTGCCTCACTCCTTTGGACTAATGACAGATCATTCCATCCTGACCCGGGCACGCTAGGCTGCTTCATCCCGGCCTGACACCATTCTCCTCCCCATTCCCTACCCACAGCCTTGGCCTCAGCTGATGCCATGGGAGGTCGAATGCTGCAAGCTCTTCTGCCCTTGCCCCCTCCATGGGAACAGCCTTTCCACGTCCCCACCTGGGAAAGCAAGGGAGCTGGGCTGCATCTCTACCCTCTCCTCACACTAAAGGGTCTGTCAGGGGCTTGAAGCTGAGGAAGGATCTGGGGGTGTGAGGACCAAGACTTGGAGAGGGAGGAAGAGGAAGGGAAGGAGGAGGAGGAGAGCCCGTTTGTAAAGTGTCTAGGTCCAGAGGACCCTGCAGGGGGGCCACAGATGTGTACGCGCACGCGCGCACGCATGTGTGTGTGTGTGTGTGTGTGTGTGTGTGTGTGTGTGTGTGTGGTGGGGAGATCTGCCCTATGGGAGGGAGCACATGCCCGAGGGGCCCAGGAAGGGCAGAAAAGACATGTGTTGGAGTGCAGGACCTGACGAGACACAGGCAGCAGCATCCTGGCCTCCCTGCCTCGTGGCCACCAGCAGGGCTCCCAAGGCCAAGGGCAGGGGAAGCCCTCCCACAGGAATCCTGGCCAAGACAGCATACACCCCAGGCCAGGGGCAGGGCCAGTCTCTCAGGACCCACTCCTGACCTACAGCCTCCCAAGGATTCTGAGGAAGAAAGGAAGGCCCAGCCAGGCAGCCCGCACCCACAAGGCAGGCCAGGAGGCGCCCCTTCTCCTCTTCTGACAGACCTCATGTTGAAAAGTACAGCTTTGAATTCCAACTCTTCCTGGCTGAGCAACCTTGCCCAAGACTGGGCTTTGAAGAGCCTCAGCTTCCTCCTCCCTAAAATGGGTACTAACCTTCAGCCAACTGACAGGTCAGTTGTCATGGTAACAGCGCTCATTTCCACAGTGCTTTGAGGTGTGCAGAGCACTGTTCTCTTTAGAAAGCCATCTCCATGGGATGGGCATGGAACCCAATCTAGCATGATCGTACCCGCTCCTCTGCTCCCTGCTCTTTCTGTCCCAGCCTGGACTGTCAGTTCTTTGAGTCCAGGAGCATTCCGAAGCACTGGAGCCATACTAAAGGAACTGTGGCCCCGGCAGTGGAGATGGGGAGCTCCAGAAGCCCTAGCTGGATGGCAGTCCTGTGACATGTTACAGGAAGTCCAGGCCAAGTCAGGTTTGGCTGGGGTGGCGCTGGCCTGGCTAGTCGGGGTCCTGGGGAGCTCTTCGACCTTGGCAGGGGAGGGGGGCGCAGGGTGGCCTCCCCCTTCTCCATCCTCAGCACACTGGAGGGCCCTAAGAAAGATCTGTCGACAGATCTGAAGATTCTAAGCAAAGTGGAAGTTGGGTCAAAGCAACCCTCTTTTCTCTCATGAGTGTAAAGTTCCCAGGCAACAGAACCAGGAGGCGAGTGAGACCACCTTCCTTGTCTTGGTGGGCATGTCAAGCCCAAGCCACCCATTTTACAGGACTCACTCACTGTCACAGAGCAAATCAATGGCAAAGTCACAGATGGCCAGAGTCGAAGGGCCACCAGCCCATCCCCCAACTCCACCCCCAATGCCCCCTCCAACTCTACAGTTAGGAAGTGTTTGCTGCTGTCACTGCCTCCTGCTTGCCAGGCCAGGGTCCTTGTCACTCCCCCATCTTTTACACATCAGTCCAATGCCACCAATGCTCCAGCTCGGCAGGAGCACGAGAACATGTAACGGGGGCTCAGCACTGCTTGCACAAACGAGGCCCATGTGAGAGGGTTGGTAAAGAAGGACTGTCATTCCCTGAGGCCCTGTAGGGTCCCAGGACCCCTCCAGCTGGGAGGTTCACTCAGTCCCATGCACAAGGATGCTCCTTTTCATTCTTTCAGTGGTCCAGCCTGAATGGTGGCCCAGGTTCCGAGTCATGTGCACTCTTTCATTAACTGGGCCTCATCCAGCTTCAAGGCAAGAAACAGCAGCATTCTACACCCTGAACAGGGCAGCTCTCCCTGGGCCTAGCCCAAGCGCAAGGGCCACGGCACAGGAGACCAGAGGACACAGTGGCCTAGACCTCACTTATTTACTTTCTTGGTGACTTTGGTCCAGATGTCAGTTGGGAGCACACCAGGACTGCAACTGAGGCCTTGCCCCTCATAGATCCAGACTGACTGTCTTATGAAGACTACTGGCCATGGAGCTACCCCCATCTTCTCCAACAGACCACCCTTCCTATCATGCCCAGGTTCACCCTCGTGTTCAGTCTCTTTGTTTATGGGTACTTTCCCTATCAAACCCCTTTCTTCCCTATTACTGTGGAGGGCAACCTAGGGGTTATCCTGGACTCCTCACTCTCTTTCCCCCAAATCCAATATGGTGCCAAGGCCTGTCAATTTCACCTCTGCTGCACCTCTGGTCCATTTCATCTCTGTAGCCTCTCTGGCTGATTTCACCTCTGCTGCATCTCCCCAATACACCCTTCTCTCCCCTGCCCCTACCCCCAGGCCTAGACTATGGCAATGCCCTCCTGGTGGGCCTCCCTGCCTCAGGCTATCTTCTATCTATTCTAGTCTGTCTTCCTCTTAGCAATCAAACTGATCCCTTCCTTAAGTGCAAGACTGATCATGTCACACCCCTTCCTAATAAACTCCAGGGTTTACAACCAGTCTCTCTGATAGGAGCCTCATTGCTAAAATACATATAGAATTAAGTCAAATTTATAAAAATACAAGTCATTCCCCAAAATGATAAATGGTCAAAGCATATGAACAGGCAGTTTTCAGATGAAGAAATTAAAGCCATCTATAGTCATATGAAAAAATGCTCTAAATCGTTATTGATTAGAGAAATGCAAATCAAAACAACTGAGGTACCACATCACACCTATCAGATTGGCCAATGTGACAAAACAGGAAAATGATAAATGTTGCAGAAGATGTGGGAAAATTGGAACACTAATGCATTGTTGGTGGAGTTGTGAAATGATCCAACCATTTTGGAAAGTAATTTGGAACTATGCCCAAAGAGCTATAAAAATGTGCATACTCTCTGACCCAGCAATAGCACTTCTAGGGCTGTATCCCAGGGAGAATATGCAAATGGGAAAAGGACCCACATGTACAAAAAATATTTATAGCAGCTCTTTTTGTGGTGGCAAAGAATTGGAAATTGAGAGGATGCCCATCCATTGTGGAATGGCTGAATAAGGTGTGGTATATGAATGTAATGGAATACTATTGTGCTATAAGAAATGAGGAGCAGGCTGACTTCAGAAAAACCTGGAAAGACCTGTATGGACTGATGCTGAGTGAAGTGAGCAGAACCAGCAGAACATTGTACACAGTAACAGCCACATTGTTCGATGACTAACACTGACAGACTCAGCCCTTCTCAGCAATACAAGGATCTAAGACATCTCCAAAGGCCTCATGATGGAAAATGCTATCCACATATGAAGAAAGAACTATGGAGTCTGAATGCAGATCGAAGCAGACTATTTGCTCTTTTTTCTCTTCTGTTGTGTTGTTTTGTTTCCTCTTTCTGGTGGTTCCTCCTATTGGTTCTAATTCTTCTTTACAACATCACTAATGTGAAAATATGTTTAATAGGGATGTACATGTAGAGCCTATATCAGATTGTGTGCTGTCTTGGGGAGGGAAGGGGAGAAAGATTTAAAACTCAAAAGCTTATGGAAGTGATTGTTGACAAATCAAAATAAATTAATTTAAAAAAATTTTTAAATCTCGTGGCTCCCCATTCCCTCTAGGCTAAAATCCTGTATTTGGCCTCTAAAGCCCCTTTACAACCTGGCCCCTCGCTGCTTTTTCAATCCGGTTTTCTGTACACGTGACTGCCCTCCCCCCACAGACTACGATCCAGCAATGCCGGCCTCTTTGCTCCTTGCTCATCACACATTCACTGGCTGATCCCCATGCCTGAGATTCTCTCTCTCCTGGGCTCCTTTGAAGGAGTTCAGACCCCCCTTTTCTGCCCTTGTATTCCCGCATCACTCCCTCCACACCCCCCACTCCTGCTTTCTCCTCCCATGTACCCCATGGCAAGTGTGTATGCTCCTTGTGGTTTGCTCACTTGCGTCCCCTCTTAGGGTAATGAGCTCCTTGAGGGGAGGAGGCCACATTTCTGCCCTTCTTCTTATCCTCAGTGCTCTGCAAACAGGAAGCACTTAGTAGGTGCTGATGGAGTCAGTTCAGCCTGAGCACTATCCTCTCCCTATCCCAGCTACCCCTCACCAAGGGAGGTGAGGCCGAGCAGCAAGGGACCCAATGCTCCCCTGTAATTATAAGGCACTGCAGAGCCACAGACACACTCAAGGACACTCCTCTCTCCTATCCACTGAGACAGCCCTGAAATGACCAGTGTCCTCTGTACACACACACACACAGCCCTGCGCTTCTGGCCCTGGCTCAGTCTACCTGGTGGTATCTGACCTAAAAATACCCTCCCCCTGTTCAGGGCCGTTGGCCCCGGCCCAGCCCCCTGCCCTCAGCCCGAGTCACAGAACAGAATCTTCAGGGGTGGGTCAGATGACCACTTGTGGAGAACACAGTCAAGGAGACGCTCACAGTGGATGGCCTCTGGGAGATTCTGGCTTTTGCCTAGAAGGAGGAACAGGACCAGGCTGTGGGTAAGTGGGCCAACAGGAGAGTTGACTGTATTTCTGGAGAGCAGCCCAGGGCCTTGGTGAAGGCAGGGCCAAGAACAGGCTGGCAATATGGATTTGCTTCTTGGGCACAGCTGGAGTTAGATCTGTCCAATGGACCCCTTCCTGCCTCTGATGCTCACCAGGAGAGTGCTTCACGTCCCCCGAGTCTCAGTTCTTTGAAGGTAAAACGTGGCTGCTCCTAAGACCTAGAACACGGCCCAACGGGGTCACCTCTCAGCAGCCGAAGGCTCCTTCCAAACTTGGCCATGTGCCACGTCCGGTCCTCCCCCCACCCCCACCTCCAGGCAGACCCAACAGAAAAGAGGTTCCTTCTGGGCAGGGGCCCAACCTCCAGGGCCTGGATAGACCTGCTGAGTGTGGAAGAGCCTGTGTGCAGGCATAAGGGCAGCCCGAGCAGCCTCAGGGGCCAGAAGGAGGAGGCCTCCATGGTGGGCATGGTGAGAACAATCCCAGGAATTTCTCTAAGATGAAAACTCACCAGGCTGGACAAGAGCTGGTTCTCCCAGTCCTGCCTGCCTCCTGCCCCCCGTGAAGCTCATGCTAAGTCAGCAGTGGGCGGGCTCCTCTGAGGGCCCTGGGACTGAGTCTGCTGCCAAGGGGCTGGCAGAAGCCCTCACCCCAGCAGGAACTAAAGGCCCCCTTGGGTCAGGGCTGCCTGGGAATCAGGGCATCAGAAAGATTCTAGCCAGGAGCTCGAGCTATCTTGCAACCAGAAAAGTACCCAGTATAGCAGGCAGAGAGCGAGACCCAGGTTCGAGCCCTGCCTCTGACTTGCACTGGCCAGGGCGCTCTGCACAGATCAGCTGCCACACAGTGGCCTCGGCATCTGCTAAGACTGTCAATGGTGGAGAATGTGCTGGCTATTCTTGGCGGAGGGCGCACCTCCTCCAGGAGCCCTCTGCCAAAGAAGTCACAGGATGGCTCCCCAAAGTGTCTCACAACTAAACTGTACGCGCACACACACACATGCACGCACACATTTTCTAGGGGTTTTGCAGATAATAACTGAGGCATCACCATTTACAAGTGAAGGAAGGTCTATCACCCTTATTTTGTAAACCGTACCAAACGCCCAAGAAAACATCCTGCCACGAACATTTCCTTAATGAAGTCCATGCCGGTCTCTGCAGCTGCCTCCCTGTCAGCTCTGCCTCTTGCGATCCTTGTCTCCCATCGAGGCCCAGTTCAGGTGCCGCCTGCTCTGCTGTGAAGCCCCCCCCCCCCGTACCCTCCTCTTTCTCCAAAGGCTCAGTCCTCTCCCTTGGCTCCTGTTTTTGCTAAGCCCTTTTCTTACACTAACTGTGTGTGAGAGGCATGGTAATTATCATTGTGCCATCTAAGGATAAGCAAACTGAGGAAGACCGTGCAGCTGACCAAGGTTCCTGGCCCCGCCTGGCTCTTTTTTCATTGCTTCCTTAAGAGAACGGTATTTTCTCTCCTCTGGCTCTTTTGGGACACAGCCCTGCCTCTCTGGTGCTGAGACACAGTAGGTGCTTCAGTAGTAAATGCTTCTTGACTTGCCCATGCGTGGTAAGGAGCCTCTGTGTTGGTCTGAGATTTACTTGTGGATTTAGCCCTGGCTGAAATGGATCCAGCCCAGGTCCCTGCAGGTGCATACAGGGGACAAACTCTAGCCACCCTGGGCTCTGAGGTGGCTCACGGAACAGTGGAAAAGACTGCCACCCTTCCCCAGCCCCCAGGGTCACAGAGTCACTCACGTGTTGCCCACGGCCATAGTCTGGCAGGTGTCTCCCGTGCAGAATTCGGAGATTGTGCTATACTGGAGGTTGATGTGGTGGAAGAAAGTGGTCGCTGGAAGAGAGAAGAGAAAACAAGATGTGGCCATGGCTGAGCCCAAGTCCCTGCTGACAGCCCAGGCCCAACCTGGGGGTGTGGCTGCCCAATGGAGGCAGCTCTGTTGCCCTGTGCCTCTGGCTGTCAACCACACCAGGGAGATAAAACCCCTGACAGCCAGTGACCGTCCCAGAGAATGAGGCCATCCAGGGGGCTGCTGTTACCACCCCAGGGGCCACTCTAGACTCTAGCTGGGTCCTGAGCGGCTGCTACTCCAAGGCAAACTAATGGCCCAATCACGTTTTTTAGGGGTGCAAATGAAAACCAGTGCAACGCTGGGCAACCCCTCAAAGGGACAGAGCTAGCCTGGACCCTTGCCAACAGCTCCAGGCTCCCTAAATGGGGTGTTTCCTGCATGCTGCGAGTCTGAACAAGAAAGCACAAGCAGGTCCTGGCATCACCAGACAAGCACCCGTCCTGCCCCAAAGAGCGGGCATGCTCCTGCAAACCCGGAGCCATGGTCTGTGCCCTGCCCAGCAAGCTCCCACAATGAGCGCTGCTTCAGCCAACATCCACTCTCCCGGCCCTGGCTGAAGCGCACTCTCTGGGGCTCTGACATCGCCCCCAAGGCCAGGCCAGGCTTTTAACCTGCAGACGACACCAGCCAAGTGTGACCGGCAAGCATGCTGGGGCAAGCAGGGGCGAGTCTGGCACAAGACAGCCCTTTGGCAGGGCCTCTGTACCAAGCCCCAAGCGTGGCCTCTCACCGGAGGCTCCGTACAGAACCTGGCAGAATGAGCCTGCTCCTGGAAGCCCTCCTTGGGGGCTGTCGCTTTAAGGACACCAAAGACTGCAGCCTCTCCCCAGCCCAGAGGTGACCTTCAAGAATCCCAGGGCTTCTGATCCCACGAAACAGAAATCAGTGCAGCCTGGAGGGCAGGGGACCCTCACTGGGGAAAAACTCTTTGTCTCAAACATCTCAGAGAAGGTCTAAACAGAGCCAACCAGAACCAGGGCAAGCGAGTGTCATCCCTAGGTAAGTGGCCGAATGTGCAGACAGCTGCAGACTGCTGCCAGCCCCACAAGCCTGCTCCGAATCAGCGAGGAGAAGTAAAGGGCAAACGAGGACCCCTTGGAGGGCCCCCCTTTCCCACCCCACCAACGGATTGAGATGACAGAAGGGGACAAGGAAGAGGCTTTCTGAAGGGGCTCCAGGTGCGGACAGTCAGTCTGACCACCCCATGACTCCGAGAGCCCCGCTGGGCACACGCCCTAGTCAGCAAAGAGACGCAAAGGACAGAGCAGAACTCTAGGGGAGCAAAGAGGCTGCCAGCAGCCGGGGCATGGGTGGTGCTGCACGGAAGGACCCTGGGAAGACGTCCAAGGACGATGCAGAGCAGAGGAGGCAGAAGCCAAAGGACCACACGATAGGCATGTGACAATCCACAGCTCGGAAAAGGGGGCTCCCCCTCTTCAGCCTGGGGCTGTGTGAGCAGAGGGGCCGGCCGGGGCGGGCAGGGGCCGAGGGGCTTGGCAAGGCCAGGGGGAGGGCTACCTACTATTGCTGGCGAGCCACTCATTGAGGTCGATCTCCCGTGGCAGCACCACCAGGTCCTTGAACTCAAAGTCTGTGATCCTTGACTTGGCGTATTCCGGCTCCAAGTACAGCTTCTTCTCTTCGGCAGTGGGCTTCTTCCCATTTGGCTTGGCCTTGGACTTCCTAGACAGAGGCAGAGGGAGAAGGGAAAGCACGGTCACTGGCCAGCTGGTGACCCAGCCGAGGACGGCAGGCGGAAGGAGCAGAGTCTCCTCACACCCATCCTGTGGGGAGGGCCGCTCACTGACCACAGGGCCCTCCACTGGCTGGCCCACCCTCAGGTGTCTGGAGAACGAGCCTAGAGTCTCGGGCCCAACCGTCCCCTCGGGCCCAACGGCCGGCAGGAGCCCTTCCAAAGAGAGGCCGCCTTGGCTCTCAGGCATCTGGCCACAGCCCCATAGTTCTGGGCCCTGGGAGGACGGCTGTGAGAGAGAACGGCGACGCCAAACAATATCGTGAGGTACAGGGCTGTCAGGGAAAGGCTGGTAGCTCGGCCGTCTACAGGGCAGGCTGCGGGCGAACCGAGAACAGGTCGTGAGCCCATCCTTCCCGTAAAACAGACCTGCATAGGCCGCACCTAGGTTTTTAGCGGCTCACTTTCCAAATAAAGGTATACTCAATGATTAAAGTATTTTGCAAATAAACCATATTTTTTTAAAAAAGGAAAATTTCAATTAATATCAATTAATTACACTTATTACCTAAGACTTGTATTTATCATGAAATCACAAAAAGACTTTGCCACACTCACTTTGTCCCTGTTCAACGCCATTAATGACCGAAAACACGGTAAAAAGCTACGACTCTCACTCCTCTCAGACCAGAGGGACTGGCGGTGGCCAGCTGCCGTGGCTCACGAGACAAACAGGAAAGCACGTGCAACGGCAGCTTATGTGACAGGCACCCTCATGAGCAGGGGAAGGCGGACAAAGCCCTCATCACATCTTTACTTTCTTCTATATCCTCCATGCTTTTCACGGGCTGCCTGAAATCCTTTGGCTTGGTGGGCCGTGCTGGGCAGACCTGTGGTAAAAGCTCCCAGACACTCACGTCCAAACTGATGACCCATCAGACAGATGCATCTGGAGCAGCCCAGACCCTCGGGGGCCTTAGGGAGAACAGCGTTGTCTCCCTGAAGAGGGTCCGAAGAATGTTCCAGCTTCAGCCCTGGGCACCGCGCTGGGGGCTCCACAAACTTCAGCACCACCCAGGACAGATGCCCTCAGGGGCCAGGGAGGCCACGTCCAGCCCCAGGCCTCGAACAGAATCAGAAACCGACTTGGGTGGTTGGGTTTTTTCCCACTAAACAAGCATTTAGTTTTCTGTCCCTCCCATGGAAAAAACTAGAAGGACTCAACCCTTGTGAAAAATATAGCTGGTCGAGCCAAACTACCTTCTGCTCTGGCCGTGCTGCAGATCGGAGCCCCGGCTTGGCCCCAATGCCCCAGAATAGGGAAAACGCAGCAGGATTTTGAGGTCAAGAACCAGGGCATCAGATACCCCCCACCCCTCTTCCATCTGCCGCTGACCCGCTCTGCTCGTGGGAGTCAGGGGGCTCCCACTGTACAGCGTGCTGGGGTGACACACCTGTGTTCAGCCCCCACATCAGACACCTCCTAACTGATGTGACCCTGGCTAGTGTGTCTGCTTCAGTTACCTCCTCTGTAAAGTGGGGATACTAATGGCCCCATACCTTGCAGGGCTGTTGTGAGGACTGATGAGATCACATTGGTAAAGCACCACACAAATGCTGGCTGTCCTCTCCCTCCTTCTCCTCTTCCACTCGCCCATTTCTGCACGCGTACGATAAGGCAGCTGGACAGGACAACCGCTGCGGACTCTCCCAGCTCTATATCTGACCCTGCCGCGTTCTATGAGAAGTGGCCCACCAGAAGGTGACGTCCAGGGTGGGCTGGATGACCCCCCCAGGTGCTCAGAAGGCTCCATCCTCCTTGTCAGCCCACTCGTCTTTCACCAACTAGAGCCTAGAGACCCTGAACAGTCATATGGAAAAAGCCACGCCCAGGGATTCTCTGGCCAGGCTCCCAGGCACAAGCTAAGGGGATCCCAGCACCCATCAGGGTGGGAATTAGGAAAGCATCCTGCCCAGGATCTTGTGCATGTCCCGGGGATGCTCCAGAGACAGCCCTGCCTGGGGCTTTCCTCTAGCTGTCAATCCAGAAAGACTTCCTGGGCCCCTCTATCCAAGACCTGGGGCAGGAGGGCCTCTGGCACACATGGAGTGCTTCCTGAAGGAGGGGCAGATGCAGGGGCATCAGGGGTGAGGAGGGGGAGCCTGAGAGGCAGCGCTTTCCCTCTAAGGGGTGAGCCCCAGGCTGGCCCTGGCAGGGTGCTGTTGGGAAATCTCTCTCCATCTCATCTCCTTGCCTTATCCCCTCTTACCATCATTTCCAACATCTCCTCACCTGCCCACACCTTCCTCTGTGGCCTCCAAATTGGCCCAAATTCCCTGAAAAACCTTTTCCTTGGCCCCACGGCCCCTGGAGATCTGGGCATCTCCCAAAGGAGCTGTGGGCCCTCCCCACCCCCTGATTCTCTCTTCTCACTCTGTCCCCAAATCCAACGGTTCTCCTTTTTCCTGACTGTGCAGCTGTCCCTCCTCCCAGCTCACTCGCTTGCTCTCTCTCTGCTCTCTCTCTCTCTCCCTCCTCCCTCTCCCCTCCCTCCTCCCTGCTCTCCCTCCCTCCCTCCGGCTGTCTCTCTGGCTGTCAGGTCCTCTCTGGTCTCCTCCGCCTCCACCTAATTCACACTGGGCTCTGCCCTCTGCCTCCTTCCATGTGTCTCCCCTATCACACAGACCTTCTGGGTCCCTAAAGAGCAGGTCTGACCATGCTACATGCACTCTCAACAGCCTTCAAAGACTCCCCATTGATTTCACTCGTTACTGGTTTTTCCCCCACTGCCCTTACATTAACAGACAAGTCTCTCTGTCGGGTACTTAAAGCCCATCACAATGAGGCTGCTTGGGGGAGCAGGAGACACAGCGCCAGGCTTGGAGTCAGAAAGGTCTGAGTGTTAATCCTTGCTCACTGGATAGCTCCATGACCCCGCGCCTCAGTTTCCTCATCTGTAAAATGAGGGGCGGTAAAGGCCAGCTTAGTGCCCCTCCCTTTTTCCATTCTCAAGCTGCCAATCACTGGGAAGTTCAAGCACGCCCCCTTCCCCCACTGAATGTAAGGAGGGCGGGGTCTCTCCCTAGTGCTCCGCATACTGCCTGGAACACAACAGGCCCTTCGTGTTGGCTGGCAGCGGCAGATTTCACATATTAGCTGTGTGAACTTGGACAAGTGACGACCCTGTTTCCACATCTGTAAAAGAAGGCATCTGGACGAAATGCTTTCTAAGGCTTGCAGCCCACTCTGACCAAGATCTTTGTCAGATGAGCTGCTCTTACCTACATCTCCCCCGTTCTGCACTTTTCACTTTCAAATCTGGGAGGAGAGGGGAGGAAACATGGGTACACCTGTTGCCTGTCCACTCCCCAGACTCTCAAGATTGGGCAGGGGCTCTGGCCCCCTCCCCCCAGCCCTGGGGAAGGCCTTTCTGATTCCTGTAATCATCAAATTCCTCCTGCATCTTCCTCCCTCGGGATCCCCCTGGGCTTCTGCTCCCTGGGGCCTCCAAGAACAAAGCCACTTGCTCTTCCCCAGGACAGCCCCTGACACTTTTGGACACAGCGCCCAGACCTCCCCCTAGATTCCTCTTCAGCCCTCCCTCCCCTGGGCCCCCTTCAGGCCTTTCACCCTCCTGAAAACGGTCCCACTCTCATCAATGGCTTCTTAAGGTCTGGGATATGGAGCGGGGCAGGGAGGCGAACACCACCCTCTGGCTTGGAGGGGATCAGGGCCTCCCAAGCCTCTCAAGGAGCTCTCAGCAAAGACCACACTACTCACTCATACTGAACTTGGGGTACGCTCAGCCTCAGAGGTCTTTTTCAGATACTTTCCCCCTTTTGCACTGAGGCTTAAAGCAGATTCTGTGTGTAGTATGCCCACACAGTCCTGGGGAAGTCGGGCAGCAGACTGGAAACTTGTCAGGGCATAGATCATTCTCCTGGTCTCAAGGACCACCTTCCAGAACCCACCCTCCTCACAGCCCGGACTAGAACCCTTCAGCAGGGAAGGTGCCTAAGATAAGAAGTCTTCGGCTCCGGACCGCAATGATTGGCCCAGGGCTGCGGGGCAGCAGCCCCCGTTAGCCGGCTTCAGCGCCCGGTTCCCTCAGCGGGTCACAGCGGCACACGATGATAACAGCTGCTCCCTCATCCTTGCCACCGCTGCAAACGGACGGACCGCGGCGCCAAGAGGGGAAGGGTCTGATCAGAGGGGCCTTCGATAGGACTGGAAGCCGCAGGGCTGGGTAGGGGGCTGTCCCCTCAACAAGAAGGGTGACCCAGCTCCCTGGGAAAGGAGAGCGCGCCAGGGCTGAAACAAGAAACTGAGCAGCAGACAATGAGTCGGCCACGCCCTTCTCCTGCCTCCACGGGGCTGGGCACCTTTCGCCCTCTGCTGCTGCTTCCGCCCTTGGGGGGATGGGGAGCTCATTTCAGAGGACAGGGTGGGATGGCTCCGAGACAGCCTCCCTTCCCACTCCGGGCATCGGGAAAGGCCTTCGTTCTGTCTCCTCCGAGCTCTCCTGCTGCCTCTGGATCCAGCCATGGAGGAGAGCAACTGGTCCCCACGCACATCACGAGGACCCTGTGTGCATACATATGAACGTGCGCGCACAGCACGCAAACTACATGTGGATGTGCATGTGTACGCAAACACAGACTCGTATTCGGACGCACTGCACAGACTGCACACAAGCGTGGATGTGAACGCACATGCACACAGCACTGCTGTATGTGGCTGCATACATAGCATGCACACGTATGTACGTGTACGCGGGTGTGTACGTGAGCACACACACACGGCCACATAAAGCACTGCGCAAAGTCGTGTGGCGTAAAGGACAGGTGCTCCTCTCAGAACGACGATCCGCGTTCACGTGCGCTGACCACGCCAGTCGCACAGTGACAGCCCCCATGCCCTCCGTGGCCCAAAGCCATGGAAATGCTGGCGCATCCCCTTCCTCTGGCTACACAGACACCCAGGAGCAGC